ATATATATATATATATATATATAATATATAAGAAATATATTAAGAAGCCCCGGGTGTATCGACAGTTAAGTACTGCATGCAAGGGGAGGGAAGACAATTTAAATTGTTAATAAATGAGTAGTAAATAGTAAATAGTTAATAATTAGTAGTAAATATTAGATATTAGATATTAATTTAATATTTAATTACTTATTTAATAGTAAATAAAAAGAATAAAAAAGAATATTCCCTATATAAGCATTATAATTCGAGTGTACATACACCGCAACTAGTGTTGCAGTATTAATATAGATAGGAAGGATGCACATCTTATAAAGGAGGAAATAAACGAATAAAATAAAAAGAATAAATAAATTTAAATTATTTATTTATGAATATATTATTTATATTTAATTAATATTTAATTGAATATAGCAAGAAGGAAAGAAGCAAGAAGAAAAGAAGAAACAGAAAGACGCATGGGGCCCCCCTCAATAAAGGAGGGAAGCCGGAGGGAAGATTATCATAAAAAAAGGGGAAAAAAAGAGAAAAAATAGTTTTATTTAATTAAAAAAGAATAAAATATATATTTGTATCTCTTTTTTAACATAAAAGAGGGAATATTAGCGGAGTATTCCTCATTTTTCTTCCTCGTGGTTTCCTGTTGGGTCCTTTATTGAATATTCCTATAATAGATGTTGTTAATGTATTTTTATGATTAAAAAGTTCTTTTTTCCTCAATTTATTGTTTTATTCTTCATTTATTCTTTTTTTTCTTCTTTTTATTCCTTTTTATTCCCTCATTTCCTCTTCTTTCCTCTTGCTGCAGCAGTGTAAGTTGAATATACCATCCTTTAGCAGCAGCACTTGGCCGTATGACTATCACATAGAAAGACAGACAAAAAAAGAAACAGCAGCAGCAGCACCACCACCACCACCAGCAGCAGCAGCAGCAGCAAGAGCAGCAACAGCAGCAACAGGAGGAAGATGGGTCCAATATCTCGTGACCGTCGTGATATATATTATAGGAAAGCAAAGGAAGAAGGATACAGAGCAAGAAGTGCATATAAATTAATACAATTAGATCAGCAATTTAATTTCCTTTCTCCTCCTTATCTACAATTTAATGATATATATAATACTACTAGCAGCAGCAGCAGCAGCAGCAGCAGCAGGAGTAGCAGCAGAAGCAGCAGCAGAAGCAGCAGCAGGAGTAGCAGCAGAAGTAATAATGATGAAGAATATACTCATTGGCCTTCCTGTCTTCCTCCTTCTCCTACAGCAGCAGGAGCAGCAGCAGCAGCAGGAGCAGCAGCAGGAGCAGCACCATCATCATCATCAAGAACAAGACGATCACGAAGAAGATCAAAGAAGAAATCACAATCAGCAGCAGCAGCAGCAGCAGCAGCAGCAGCAGCAGCAAACAGCAGCAGCAGCAGCAGCAGCAAGAGTATATTTGATTACCCACATAGGGCAGTAGATCTATGTGCAGCACCAGGTAGCTGGAGCCAGGTACTAAGGAAACGTTTATGGGCTAATTATTCCCTTAAGGTTAATGAATATAATAGATTGCTGCAGCAGCAGCAGCAGCAGATACTGCAGCAATTACTGCATCAACAGCAGCAACACGACAAACAGCAACAGCAACAGCAGCAGCAGCAGCAGCAGCAGCAGCAACAACAACAAGAAGAATATAATGCAACAAATACAGCAGCAGCAACTAATAATACATCAATACAAACAGCAACAGCAACAGCAGCAGCAGCAAGGATAGCAGCAGCAGAAGAAGCAGCAGCAGCAGAAGCAGCAAGAATATTAGGTCCTCCTCCTCCTCCTCCAATAATAGTAGCAGTAGATCTACAAGAAATAGCACCAATAGATGGGGTGTACGTACACCGTGGGGATATAACAAAAGAAGAAACTATACAAGAAATATTATTATTATTAAATAAAAATACACCACCAACACCAGCAGCAGCAGCAGCAGCAGCAGCAGCAGCAGGAGGTGCAACAGCAGCAACAGCAGCAACAGCAGCAACAGCAGCAACAGCAGCAGCAGATATAATTGTATGTGATGGTGCACCAGACATAACAGGTATAAGAGATATAGATGAGTATATACAGCAGCAAATAGTATTTGCTGCTGTTGCTGCAGCAGCAAAATTATTAATAAAAAAAAAAGGTATATTTATATGTAAAATATTTAGAGGTGAATATATACCTATGGTGTATATACAGCTAAATATATTATTTGCTGCTGTATACTGCAGCAAACCTGCTGCATCGAGGAGCAGCAGCATAGAGGCATTCCTTGTTTGTCAAGGTTTCTCTCCTAATCTATCTCTTATCTATAATCCTTATCATTATAAATCTATTCCTCCTCCTCTTGCTGCTCCTCCTCCTGCTGCTGCTGCTCCTCCTCCTGCTGCTGCTGCTGCTGCTAATCCTCCTCCTGCTGCTGCTGCTGCTGATGTTGATGATGATGCAGCAGCAGCAGCAGCAGCAGCAGATAGTGCTGTAGAAAAGAAAGCTGTAGAGGAAGAAGATATATCATTAGAATCAGCAGCAGATACAGCAGCAGCAGCAGCAGCAGCAGCAGCAGCAAATACAGCAGCAAATACAATAGCAGCAGAAGAAGAAGAGGAAGAAGAAAGAGGAGGAGCAGCAGAATTACCTGCAGATATATGGTTAAATAAAGTATTAGGTGAATTAATACCATTTATAAGTAGTGGGGATATAAAAGAAGACATGGATGCAGATAAAAATTATATTTTATCCAGGTGTACGTACACCCCAATTAAACCTATACAATTACCTACTATTCCTCCTTATAAGGAAGCTATATTAAGAAAAAGAGGTCTATTATCCTAATTTATCTATTTATTATGCTTATTTATTTATTTTATCTAGTTATTTACCTATTTACCTTGTTATATATATATATATATACACCTATACATGTGTGTATGTATATATGTATGTATGTATGCATATATGTATGCATGCATATACATACATACATATGTGCATGCAAAAGGGGAAAGGGAAAGAAACATATAAATAAATTAATTTAATTAAATTAACAATTTAATTTTTATTTTCTTTTCTTTTGTTACTTTACGTAGGAAGGATTATTCAGGTGTACGCACACCTCCACACCACTAGCTTAATAAATAATTTATTTCCTTTTTTGTTGCTTATTTATATTTATATTTAATTTAATTTAATTTAATTTAATTTAATTTATTATTATATTTATTTACGTAAAAAGAAGAAAATAAACATTTATTGTGCATTTATATGCATCAGTATTTCCTTTCCCCCTTCTTCCTCCTCCTCTTCCTTCCTTCCTTCCTTTCAGGAAGAAAAGGGGGAGAGGAAAAAGGAGGGAAAAAAGAGGAAATAAATGCATAAATACATGAAATAGCAGTAAAAAATAAATAAAAATAAATTATTTAATTTATTTAGCTAATTTATACATAAATAGCCGTTTATTTCAAGGGAAAAAATAAAAAATTCATCTTTTTGTTGTTGTTGCTGCTGCTGCTGCTGGTGCTGAGGTGTACAGACACACGAATAATGCAGGTGTGCAACTTATAAAGAAAATAAAGTTGTTTGTGGTCTATTTAACGTCAATTTAATTCTTTTTGTGTATATTTTTATTATTTTATTGTTTATTTAATTAATTAGAATTAATTTAATGGTTTATTTGCCTATTTTATTCAATTAAATGGTATTTTATGACACTGCAGCAACAGCAGCAACAGCAGCAGCAACAGCAGCAACCGCCTTCAAGCTGGAGCAGCAAGCAGCACGATTTGTTGTGGGGTGCGCCGACAGATTAATATATTTTTGTTGTTTTGTTTGTGTAAATATATGATTAATTAATTAAATTTAATTAAATAAATAAATAAATATAAAAATAAATAAAAAAAGAAATAAAATAAGCATAGAAATACCTCTTTAGCATACAGAGAACCGCCACTGCTGCTGCTGCTGCTGCTGCCTCCTGCTGCTGCTGCTGCTGCTGGCTGTTGTTGGTTGGGGGCTTCTTCTGCCCGCCGCTGCTGCTGCTGCTGCTGCTCTTCATGCTGCCGCTGCTGCTGCTGCTGCTGCTGCTGCAGCCCCCCTCCCCTTGTTTATTCCCTCTTCCTTTGTATATAAGAAAGAAGAGAAGGTTTAGTTATATACGCATTTGTTTATTAAGAGGTTTGTTTGTTCCCTAAAGGGTTTAGGGTTTAGGGTTTAGGGTTTAGGGTTTAGAGGTGTACGTATAAAAAAAAAAAAAATTAAAAAAAAAAAAAAAT